CCACTAACGCTCCGGCCTCCATTAAGTCCCCTCTTGGTTTACCTGGTGGAGCGGTCTCTCTCTGGTGCGGAGTGGAAGCTGTGCGTCACCCAGGCGGGGCTGCACCTCAGTGGGGGACGAACTGCGTCACTTCGGACTCCTTTGGGCAATACAAAACACTGTATTAACTCCAGTAACTCTCATCATCACAAACATTATGATGATGGTCAATTCATAAATATGAGGTACTCACGTTCAACCCCTTTCGAGGCGGCATTCTCAGTCTAAATTCCACAGAGCACCGTCTCTTTATTCCAGGATCGACATGCCTTCAAGCTCTCACAGACATGCGTTCAAAGCATGTTTTGATTTTAAAGATTACAAAGAAAACAATTCTTACGCTCTGCACTGTACAGAATGCAACCCCCTCGTCCCCAGCATGGGTGGCAGGGGCTATATGAAAGTGCATGTTCCAGTGCACACCTGATTAAGAAACACTCATTTCCCAAGTTCCGCGTTACTCTTGTGTTCCGGTGTGGGACCTTACAGGTACCCTTCCTCAAGCCTACTAGGGGATGTGTTCACACGAGACACTGGCTGCTCCTCCTCCTCAAGCACACAGCCCTCCCGTTCATTAAAACTAAAAAGAATCAGCTCTAGGAGTGAGGAAAGCAGAGACCTGAGCCAGTAAATGAATGCAAGGAATAGATTTTCAAACCATCTGGAATCTTGGTGCAGATGCTTTTGCAGAGAGGAAGAAAATAAACCTCAACAACAAAAAAGGAAAGAAAAAACAAATAGGATCTGGAAATGGGAGAAATTTTATCACATTAACAAAAAGAACAAAAAACTTGTAAAAACGTTATACATTCCCTAACTGTCTCTGACTGGACAGCCTGAACAAGTGTCAGCTTCAATCTGTTTAACAGACAGTGCTTTTTCAATATATTACAGTTTACAGGTAACAATGCAGAAAACGTTTTATAAGATCACAGTAAAAAGTACAGGTATTTATTTCTCTGGTTGTAAAAATCCTTTATTTCACCAGCCAAGGAAAAAAAATGTTCTGTTAAAAGTATTTTCCATACATAATTAAGGTGAAAGCTTTATCTAAGATTTGGGAGTTTGGTACTGAATTTGAGTCCTAGGTAGGAGCATTAAAAAAAATACAACAGCACATCTGTAAAACTCTCGCATTTATATCCTATCACACAGTTTGAGGCACTGAAGAGCTATGGCCAGCGCAGGTTTGTTGTATTATTGAAGTAACCCTGAATGCGATCGCTATATACAAATAAAAACGCAAGAAGGATGTTCCCTTTCTGCATCACACAAACCCTGATAAAGTTTACACCTTAATACCTTAAGACAGGAAAAGTGGGGAGCAGTCTTCTCTCGTCCTGTCCGGAACACGTTTCTGTACTACTGGCTGTACAAGAAGCTTTGTTGACCAACTGGGGCGATCGCTCACAGACCTTTTTTTTTTTTTTGTGTGTGTGTCTTTTTACAGTCCTCAACACTCCTCAGAAATCAGCGGTATAAAAAAAAAAGAAAGAAGAAAAACAACAAAAAACGAAACGAAACAAAGCTTTGCGTCCTCCGCGATCTCAGAGAAGGAGTCCGAACAGTATTTGTGGTTCCGGCGGCGCCTGGCAGTTTCCTCTGCGACGCTCTGGATATGGCTGAAGAGGAGAGCCCCTCGTGGCGAAGTGGGCACCCGTGGCGTGAGGTTTGTTAGCTCTTGGTTTGGCGAGACTGGCTCCCTCGGTCCGGCCTGGTGTCGCCACAGCCGGCTGAGCTCGGCCTGCCCGAGGGCCCGTCCCCTCTTGAGCGCCCTCTAGTGGACAGGGCTCCCCGCGGTGCCGAGACGGAACCGGCGTCACTGCTGGCCCATCTTCTTCTCCTTCTGGAAGCTGAAGCTCGTGCGGCGGCTCAGCTTCCGCTGCTTCTGGGCGAAGTAGTCCGCCCGCGACGTGCTGGCTCGCGACTCCAGGATATAGTTCACCTGCCGCGGGGAGACAACAGGACTGGGCGTCAGCGCGCGGCCACGCCGCGTGTCTGCTCTTTCTCCCACCTCCTTTCTAAAAAGCTAGGAATGGGGATGATGTTTGCGATATCCACCTGATCTCGAATATGGCAAGTCCTCGTTTATTCAGCCGTGAACACTGTGACTGCACATGGGGGAGAGAGTCGCCACCCCGACCCACCCTCCTTTAACCATGTCGGACGCTGCGTTCCTGGAGCGGAGCTTCGGCGCCACCCTCTCCCCGCCCCCCCCACACACACGTGGTGATGCTCAGCCAATCAAGCGCTGAGGCTTGGAGAATCCAGGGAAGAGCTCGGCTATTATCCAGGCTCTAACCTGCAATCTCGGAGCTCGACCAAGATAAATCCAACACTGCGTGCTCCGAAAAATACAAGGCGTACAAAGCCTTTATGCTCAATGTGAACTGTGAAAACAGGACTGGATGCTGGTTGGATCTGATAGACCGGATGAGCTGCTGTCGGAATGGGAGGACACGGGGGCCTGGACAGGTTTGGGACATCTCAATCCACAGGTCTATTCTTACATTTCAAATGGAACTGAGGTTCCATTTTTACTCTCCTTTACACCACCCATCCAGGGAAATCCAGCGTCGGGTTCTTCTGTATTAAACAGCACCCGACCCCCACGAACGGGATCACCCTCCTGTCCTAAGGGGAAGTCCCAGGATATTCGGAGACTGGTGCCGCACTCACACAGTGCAGGGGAAACAGCGTTAATGAATGGCAGCCGAGATGCTTTCTCCCGCAGGGCCAGAGCCTGCTCCATTCGGGCCCTTAGTCCGGTGAAGAACCGTTACTACAAAAACCCAATCCTCAGTGCACGCTGGACACTGGCTGTTGGGGAGTTTTAAATCTAAACCTCTACCTCTGTGATGCAGCTTTTTATTGCAGGACTTTAAAGGACCTGGACTTCAAAAGAAGCGACAAACCACAAGAGCTGTGAAGCTCAACTGCTAACACTGAGTTTTACCAGCACCTTCCTGCTGTTAGAGATCGGTATTTTTTTAGTTTTTTTTTTTTAGCATTTTGACACAACATATTCCGGGCATGATAAAAGTCTTAAAAAAAACTAGTGTTACTTTCTTAATACCTTTGCAAAAAACATCCTCCTTACTGTAAGGAAGCAGGTGGCTCTGGGACCCCGTGATGCCCAGCCTGCAGTGAACCTGCCGCATGACCAACAAGGCCCACGTGCCTCTCGCTGCGCAGGACTGAGGGCCGTGAAACACCGAAGGTGCGAAACGATCACCGACGCTGAGCCGGGAGACGACACTAAATTGGAACATATGTTACTTTAACTGTAACATAACAGTAATTCTGCTTTAAGACGGCCCATAAAGCCTGGATTTATCATCGCAGATCCGAGGTGATCAAAACGGAGATAATTTTTAATGGAAGGTTAATGCAGAAATCCAGAGATAAAAACGGTCCTTTGGCCTCACGTCAGCTGGGCTCTACCCTGCAGAGCTGAAACCGCGGCGGTTTTATGCACCGCGGGGCGTCCGTCTTTCATGAGGCTTTACAGCTGAAGGCATAAAGACACAGCGAACATCTCCACAGCCAGCGAAGCCGCCGGCCCTCCCGGGACGGGTCCGCTCAATCGGAATGGGCGAGAGGGCTCCAAGCTCGCTGGGGGGGGCGGGGGGGGGGAGTGCGATGAAGGAAACCGCGCCGGCGTTTCCCCTTCCCTGCTTCTCTCCCGGATTGACGGCGTTTCCTGCGCTGCCCGCGGCCAGGCCCAGCGCCATCACTGCTGAGCTCCCGCGAGGAAGGATGATATCCAGGACATGGGCTGCTTCCACCAGGAAACGGCACCGCAAAACTACACTCAATTGGATTGGCAACTTTATTATTAATGTTGGGGCGCCTTTTCTCTGTCACCCGGAAGGTATACCGTATGCCGGCCGCATAAAAGCATTTATAAAAAAAACACACCAAAGAAAATATTTGCACAAACAAAGGTCTGCCCTTAGGATGATATGCGTTGTTTTAAAAAAGCTCATGTTTTGAACTTCACTGACGGACTGTTTCAGACACTCTTATCCTCATGACTGTGCAAGAGCAACTGGCATCCACTACTACTGAAAACACTGCCCTTGACAGAGGAAGAACTGTCTTGACATCTGCAGTACCTATCCTTCCATCAGTCTTATTTCGCTACTTACAACACACATGGACGGGGCATTAGCCAGGCAGTAAGGTTTCCTAACCTGGCTCTGTTGGCGGCAGGATTATGGAGGAGCCTATCAGGATTCACTTCGGATTGCTCATTCCCGCCCTTGCTGTCTTTTTAATAACCCACGGCCCCCCGGGGGAGCTGCGGGGGCTGGCGTGGCCTGTCAGGGACACCGGGAAGGGTGACGGAGAGGCCCAGCGCAGGGGCGGGACACATATTAAACCCAGATCACCGGGGACACGCTGGCCTGCCCTGGGGATGGACAGGCGTCAGCGGGGGGCGGGGGGGAGAGAGGCGGCCGAGCCCTCATAAAGCTGACAGACAGGGCAGCCCGCGCCCAGGTCTGTCCCCGGCCCCGCCCATCGCCGCCCGGATGGAAGGATTTACCTGCCATGAGGCCGCCGGAGGCACATGGTCTCCGCTCAGCCCCACCTCACCACCCAGCCCCTACTCCCATTAGGGCAAAGATTTATTCCTGGATTCCCAATTTCTGACTAAATGCTGAAGCGGAGGATCAATAACAGACGATAGACAGGTCTGCTGCCAAGTGTCCCACCCCCACCCCTAACACCCCAGTGCCTCTCTCACGCAGCGCTATCTGCCCGGTAAGAAGTTAAGAACAAAACAGACGGACATGCTTTCCCTCCCTGCAAGTGCCGACGCAACACCACTTGTGAATCGAACCATTTCAAGTGGATTTTGTGCTAAAGGGGAGGCGTTTAAATGTCTTTTTCAAACAATGCTTTGAGTTTTTAGGCCGCTCAGATGAGCCGAGGAGGTCTGCAGGGCTCTGGGCTGCAAAGGTTTGCGAACAGGAAAGGGGACAAAACCAGGACGGGCATCGGAGGTGGCGCGGAGAGTGGGCGTGGCCCCCTTACCTTCAGCACGATCTCGTTGACGGTAGCAGCGTCGGATTCGAAGTAGAGAGGTTTGTAGTCGTGATTGCTGAGATATGTGAGCTTAAATATTGCATGACCTACAGGGAAGAGAACGGCAGCGTTAGCACGGCGAACAGGAATGCGGGAAGTCAGGGCGGGGGATTGGGGCGCAGAAACAGATGGTCCCCCCGGTGTCCCGTCAGCACAGCAGACGGATCGGGATCGCGCGAGACGGCGACAGCCTTTCCCTGTCACTCCGATTCCAGGTACCCCTCGCCTGCGCGGCAGCTGAACCCCTTTTTAATAAACTCCAAACCCCGGCTCGTCACGGCGCGGAAAAAGCAAAATCAATCATCCGGGTCGTCGGGCCCCTGGGAGGGTGGTGCTGGCGGGGAGGAAAGGGGAGGGAGAGGGACACTCTGGCTTTGGGCCAACAGAACTCACGCAGCACAACGCTGGACCTGCAGCTCAGGTGTGTCGGGGTGCCCAGGGGGCTCCCACCTACTCCACCCTTTCGCCCCAAAACCCTGCTGCCGGGTGTGGCACGGACACGAGACACAAAAAACCTTCACGTCTGGACATCCTAGCACAGAGATGCCGGCCAATGTTCCCATTCACACAGCCTGACGTGGTTTCAATGCGACTAGCATCAGGTGCTCACGCACAGAACAACGCACAATCACACTTAACAGCTAAAAATCACACACCTTCTGCTTCACGTTCGCCAAACGTGCATTTGTAAAAACAAGGAAATACATCTTGGGGAAAAAAAATCCTACAAATTCACACTGACTGCAAGGTGCACAAGTACATACTTCATTTCTAAAGAAAAGCTTCACAACTGCCGAGCTTTTAGCAGTAAAAGTTCTGTCTCTGCAAATCTTGTGCTGGCATTGATCTCGGAAATGTGCAGATCCATTACAGATCGCGAATAATAGCTGCTAGACCAGCCTCAACACTAACCCAGCCAGAGCCGGGTCCCAGCATGTGGACACGAGACAGGGAAGAAGCCACACAGATGTGTTGAGATTCTGCTCACTGCTGGGCAGGTCCCACGGACTGGACAGACTCCTCTTGCTCGTGTCCTTTATTTTCTAAGCTCAGTCCAAAAGAAACAGCAGTGTGGGAAACCCCATGACCTGGACACGGTAGGGACAGGGTAGGGACACAGCTGGCTTTGCACAATTGTCTTTCTTATGAAAGCAAAAGCCAACTACTGCTCTAAAAGCTCTCATGACTTCCACACACTACACTCTCCCCCCCCCCAACACACACACACACACACACACACACTCCCCTCACAGCAGTGGCTGTTTCAGGAGGCGGAACATTCCTCCATCTTTGTGTCTCATCAGCACACAGTGGTGCTAAAGGCCACAGCTTTCAAGTTTTAGATTGTAACACAATTTTATTTATGAGTACTTTTCAAGAAACTCAAAGCGATGAATGCCACAAAATTTAATTAAGCTGGAAAATATTGTCTAACGGGGACGAGCGCTTTGGGGGGGGGGAGGGGGGGAGAAGAGGGGGGTGGCGAATTGTGATAAGATTATAAGATGGAGGAAGAAAAGGGATTTAGATCTCCCGACACCAGGAGGCGGTGTGTTCCTGGGAGGGGTACACTCTACACAGTGCACATCTCGCATGCTGGATGCAGACGAATCTGTGGTCAGAACAGCAGAGGCCCCAGCATTTTATCATAATATGTTAATTAAACACCATTATGATACACTAATCATTAACATAAATTCCCTATCCAGAAATTGTCTAATAATTAAAAAACCTTTAAAGCACTTGACAAATTAGCCTCTGGTGGTGCTAACGTCCAATCTATTCTAAAAGTCTCGCTGAAAAGAAAAAAAAAACTAAAGTAGGAGAATTTCCTAATTGAAGGCTAATTAGTATGTTAATATATTCACGTTCTGCGGTGGCTGATAGAGATCAGGATGCCGAGCTGATTTAGAAACACAGTGGAGAAAAACCACTGGTGGGGGAGAAATGTGTGTTACCCTTTCACCATGACAGCCCCAATATCTGTTCTGCGAGGGCCAGCAACTTCAAACAGAGCACTTCCATATTCAAGCGCTGCTCTGCACTCTTAACAATTAACATATTCATGCAAACTAATGTAAATTCGCCAGCAGCTCCAATCCAGAGGTTCCAAGCACATGGAAATCTTTCCAATTCCCAAATGGTGACTTTTATATTTCAGTTTGCAGTTGACTATAATCAATTATGGCAATTAAGTGGTTAGTCCATTTTTTCTTTTTTCTTCTAATACGCTGTTCTTCAAAGAGGGCACAGCCTACATTGCATAGTGCTGCAGAATCATGCATCTTGGGAAATAAAAATTAATACAAAGACAATATGTCAAACTGAAAAAAAAAATGGCTTCTGCTAATGGATTTTCAACAGAAAACAGCTTTTATGCAATCAATCTTTTTATAGAAAGCTCAATTATTAAAGTAATTGTTCATCACAACCCCTACATGAATTTACCTATTAGACATAATAAACATCTTTTTTTTGCATTTGCGACTGAAACAGTTTTTGTTAACACTTTCCTACCAAAACTGCCTCTGTCCGTCTTCAAATTAACCTAAAACTAAGGTCAAACAACAAATATACAGGCAGAGTGAGACACGTTTTTAGAACATCTTTACTATAACAGCACTTGGTTTTGCCTCTATAAAAGATGGAGAGTTGGATCCACATTATTTAACCTCTAACCTTAAACAGAACAAAACTGTCAAGACTTTCGAAATATTTACTTTAAAACAGATTTCACGTATCTGAAGCAGGGCACCTCCACTCAAAAGATAATCTCTGGATCAAGAAACCTAAACAGAACACTGAGCATTGTGCTCCCTTGAGTATTTGTGCGATGGGGGCTCTGTGCACAGTGCTTCGCTGGTAAAGCCACAGCATTTCTGGTTAGCTTATGTGAAAACAAACAGGCAAGCAGGGACTCCATAGCAATGGAAGTCATGAACCCAGCTTGTTCCACAAATGCCTGGGACAGGTAGGAAACTCTTCCGTCTTGCAGGTCTCTGCAAGGGCTTGCTCAGTCAGTAGGCTGGGGACACCAACAGGACCCACTGCCTGCATAAAACTTTCGGGCTTCTAATCAATTTACCTATTCGCGTTTTCCCCTCCTATTAATCTGCAGTCTATTGACAGCCTCCGAGATAACCTTTCATTTAACCGTGGGCGGAACCAGCCTCGGCAGATGTTGCCGAGCGAGAAACAGTGAAAAATGTCGAAACAGCTGTCTGCTCCGCACATGCTGGAAAGCTACAGAATGGCTCCTTCTCCCTGCTTCCTGTTGGGCTTGTTTATCCCCTCACACACAGGCTCACACGTGCTGGGTTAACCCTCCCCACGCCGGATTCTCCCAGCAAGCTGGGGAGCCAGACTTCAATCATCCAGCTCAATAATTCTGTTTACAACGCTCCACACAAGGCAAAACAAAAACAACACAAGAAACAGATGACAGGAGGTTAAAGGTTAGAAACATCACAATTTAGCTGATTAGCCAAGTGTGCCTGCAGATAAAGGACGTTTGGAAACAACTGTGAGCGGTCATCAAGCACAGCGCAGCCAACACGACTCCGTCAGGGAGAATAACCATGCAGAGCAGCCCCGCCGCACAACTGACAGAGACACACAACCGCTGCACAGCTTAGGACTCGCAGCGTTAAGTTCTTAAACTCGCAGCCTCCCGGAGTGGACACTCCCAGCGCATGAAAACGTTTAGCCACAACCCGAGGCAAAGCACAAATCCGTAAGGTCGGGCGGACAGGCTAGGAACGTACGGATTTGTTACCCTGCAGTTTACAGCAGCACACCTCACACATGGTCCTGTGACCACCCCCGTTGAAGAGTTAAACAGTTTCCATGGAAACCTGCACAATCCCGCAGGATTTAAGGGACAGACGGACCCCCACCCCCCCCACCCCAGGGAAAAGCGCAGTATCCATCTCCGCACGATCCCAGAGTTAAACCAGATGACAGCCACAGCACAGCAACAGTTAAACCGCAGGGACTCCTATTTTCCCCATCGGTTAATTGGGAATCTTGCTTTTTGTTAAGAACAGTAGTAGCTTCATTGGTCCGCTGCCGACTGCTGCAGGTCCCAGACAGCCCAGGGGGTCTCTTTACATCTGAAACCCACGAGCCAGGGTCGGCGTGTTCAGAACTGGTGGGACATGCTGTCCTTTTACACTGCTACACTAAAGCCTCACATGTACGAGAATCAATCAGGCGTTATGTTGATATATTATCACCATCGGGCATTTACTTTAAAAGCCTCCACTGCTGTTGCCTACGATAACAAAATACTTTCTTATTCACACAGGCCAGTCTGGTTGTGAATGAAGCAAGTTTGTCATCTGGTGATCCTGAATTCACATCGCTCACACTCCTTCAGAAGCAGGACCTCGCCGGCCTCTCCAGGTAAAGTACAGTGGAAGAGCCGGCATCAAGCGCGCTGGCAGGGAGCCTGCTGCTTCCACCACTCAGACCTCACTGGCCTGCTTGTCGTCAGAGGCTCCTCGTCCTGAACATCACCGGCTCCTCTCCGCGCTCCCATGAAGCTAAAAGGCCGGATTTTATGCAATAAAACACAGATCTGTCAGGATTTACTTATCTTAACATGAAACAAATCTGCCCAAAGAAGGTTCTCTTGTATAAAACTGCACAGCTGCCACAAATCAAACACACGCCTTGAGGATTAGTGTGCGAAGCAGTATTTCTGTGCGCCTTGACAATGGCGCGAAACCGCTGCTGCTTGTCTTCTCCAGCCCCAGCTCTGGCCGGCCACAGACGCGGTTTGGTCTTCGGCTCCGGACCGGCTCATCTGTTCCTTTTCTTTGCCGTATTTTAGAATAATCTTTAAAAAACGGAAACGGAACAGAACCTGCCTCCCCAGTACCAGGGCTGGAGAGGAACAGCCGTCTGTGGCTCGGCCCTGCTGAAGCGCCCGGCCTGTCCACCCGACCTTATTTATTCCTGCTTCGCCCTGGGTTGTGCTTAAATGTTTTTGTGCGCTGGGAGCATCCACTCCACAAGGCTCATAACCCAGTCATGAGTCAAGGTG